TATTATTTTTATAATAGTTGTAATTATTATTATTGTAGTCTTCTGATCTCTAGCTTCATAATATACGATAATTCAGAAATTAAGTATGTGTGTTTACAATATGTGACTCACCCAATCTATAAATTAACCTCACACTTTGCCACTATGCATCCCAAACATCGACCTCAAAGCAGCAATACGAAAATACTATATGAGGTGCACTATGAGAGGGCGTGCTTCCAGATAAATGGAAGATGCAGCGACTGGTACCACTTCCTAAGGGGTTAGGTTCAATATCATTCTTCTGGCCAACATACATGATCGACATGATTGGAAAAATACTGGGGCAATTGATATGCTATTGTGTGGAACAAGCGATGAAGAGCTTGCAGAAAACCAATACGGATTTAGAAAGGCAAAATCTACAATACATGCCGCTCAACATGTAGTTGACATAACCTGGAAGGCAATACAAGGCAAAAGATGAAGGGATAGGAAAGAAGTACTGTTCTTTTGTCATGATGTTAAGAAGGCCTTCAATTTGGCGTGATGGAACTGCATTATAAGAGCTCTGCATCATAAGAGAATGCCATAGCATCTTAATATTATCATAGTCAGCTACTTCACAGAAAGGACTCTGTAATACCACACGGAGGATGGTCAGCGGACCCACAAGTTACCTGTGGCGTTCCACATGTGGAACATACCCACGTGGAACATAATGTACAATGGCGTTCTCAGAAAACATATGCCGGAAGGTACTGAGATCATCAATTTTACAGACGATGTAGCACTCATTACAGTAGCCAAACATCTAGAGGAAGTAGTTTAAATCATCAATGAAATCATATCTTTAGTCTGCCGATGGTTAACAGATGGCAAAAAATAAACCAATGTTTAAAAAGGGCAATAGTTATGATCCAATGAACTACAGACATATCTCCCTGTTATCAGGATTTTCAAATATTCTGAAAAGGCTTTTCCATGATAGACTCAAATAGTTTCTCAATGCAAATAATGTCCTCACGAATTGGCACAACATGGCTTCAGGAGTAATAGATCCATCTGTAGCCATCTTCTCCTTTTTAAATGACATACTTGTTGCACTGAATCAGAAGGAAGTTCCCATTGGTCTTTTCTTAGATTTGTCAAAAGTCTTTGACATTATTGTCCATCACATACTTTTAAGAAAACTCGAAAGGTTAGGGATTCAAAGCATTGCAGGCCAATGAATGAAATCATATTTATCAATCCGTAGTGAAATAGTTGCCGTCCAAAATCTCCTCATATAACTCCTGCCCTCAACTGATAAATTGTGGAGTACCACAATGATCCATCCTTGGGCCAATACTATTCCTTATACACATAAATGACATGCCTTTGGCTTTAAGAAATAACAAAATAATTTTGTTTGCAGATGACATAAACAATCCTCAAAGCAAAAAACACAACAATCATTAGAAAAAGAAACTCACAAAACTTTGCAAGCACTAGTAAAATGGTTTCAAGACAACAAATTCATCATAAACACCAGCAAGACAGTGTCTCTAAATTCCACGAATCCCTGATCTAAAGAAAAGCTCTCACAGCAGCCTCATAAACAATAACCTTGTAACAATATCTCATGAAAATGCCTTTCTTGATCTAACAATTCAAGAAAACCTAAAATGGAATGCTCACATCTCAATGTATTCTTGGCTATCCAGGATTAGCCGCATCTCGGTCAATGGTACTGCCTTTTTGGTCATCTTGCTGTGGCCTTCTTCAGAGCTATACTGCTCACATCTTAAATCTTAACAAGAAGCTCACCAAATCTTGCTATGCCCTATACACCCTCAATTCAAGCTCCAACGTTGAGACACTTTGAACAATGTGTTTTGCAAATTTTCACTCGCACCTACAATATGGAATATTATTCTCTGGAAATGCCCCTGAAAGCACATTTATTATCCAAAAAAGAATATAACAATGACCAGCATTCATAAGTTGGAGTCTTGCAAGCCCTTCTTCAATAAACTAAGGCGTCTTCCTCTACCATGCATGTATATATTTGAAATAGTTCACAAAGAAAATTCTCGTGGAAAACAAAGACACATTTACTCTAAATTCTGATGTTCAGAACTACAACACTCGTCAAAAGGGTAACCTACATGTTGCCCACTCTGAAACTACACTCTATCAAAAAAGTACTCTAATAGAGGGCTTTACACTTTACAACAAACTAGGCAATGACATTAAAGACATAAACACAATTCATACATTTAAAAGTAAATTAAAAGCTTCCCTGCTTAAGAACATGTTCTACAGTAAGAAGGAATATTCAAACATAATAAATAAAAATTTCTTATCCCATTTGACTTTTTGTTTCCATTTGACTTTCCGTTTCATGTTAATCATTTCGAGCTGAAGCAAAGAAAAAAGAACTGGCACATCATGTCCTGTGACGTAGAAGAAGAATGCCTGACAAAAATTTTTGTTTCTCTCTGGGTTTGCTAGATGCATTAGGTGCTGCTGTAGGACTAGGTGTACAAATAGAAAAAAAATCTGGTCAGAACATGTCGCCTTCCTCCTCCTCACCATTTCAAGTTTTATACATAGAATAAAATAATATTGTTTAATTTTTTGTATTTGCTTCCAGAATTTATATAATATGATATAAGAAGTATTGTTTTAATATTATTATCATCATCATCATCATCATCATCATTACCACTATCACTACATTGTCATCATCATTATTATTATAATATTATATTATTATTAATTATTATATTATTATTCTCATCTCAAGGTCTCATATGATGCAGTATGTGTAGTGACTGGCATGCTCCTAGTGGCAGGTTTAACCAATGCCCTAATCTAAGACCTATCAGGCCATGGAGAAAAGTCGTGAGACCATGATTCAGTGGCACAGACTATGGGACAGCTCGCAAAAGGGGAGATGGATTCATCCCAAATATAAAAGTATGAGAAGGGCGAAGCCATAATAAGGTGGATTTCCACCTCACACAGCAGTTGATTAGCCATGGCTGTTTCCGAGGGTATCTCTTCCACTTTCACCAGATTGAAGACCTGCGTGCTCTCCAGGAGTGGAGGAAGTAGAACACGTTTCTTTGTCTGCCCTCGGTTCGAAAAAGAGGACACATCTCTGCCGGCAACTTGGCCAACAACTGCAGCCCAAGAACATCGTGAGAGGAATGCTAGTTTCTAAAGGAAAGTGGGAAGCAGTGGCGGCCTTCGTGGCCCAAATAATAAAGAAGCTAAGACTCAAAGAGCGGGTGAGAATGGCTCCTTCAATGATGCCAAAAGGCGAGGAGGCATATCACCAATTCACCCCCACCAAGTAATGCCTAACCGCGGTTCCGTGGGGGTGAAAAAACCTGGACATTCTCAACTACTACCCTTGTTTAAAAAAATTTTTAAAATTTAAAAAAATTAAAAGAAAAAGATAGACAAGACTTTGCTATCAATCAATATTTCGATATCAAGCCAGAATCCACAAAATATGGGTTCTGACTACACTACATGATAGAGGAAGAAATTTACTATATTGGGACAAAATTTATCCACTTATTCATTACCAGGGCCTGGCAATACGAGCTCTTCTGTAGAAAATTTTGTCGTTTTTCCCATGAATTAGTATACTGCATAAGCAGTAGGGAGAAAATAGAAAATACGACCATATCAACTAGAAACCTATTAGTACAGAAAGTTTTAAAAGATAATGATAGAGAAGTAAAACATCTGGCAACAGTGGGAACTCTCTTCCATCAATATTTTTAGAGCATTGTTGGTTTCCACTCTCAAATTTTCAGTGGCCATCCCACCTCTTCCCTTTCTCTTAGGTATCCATACCATATCAGTTTCTTGTATTCTATTTTACCAATTACATCTCTGTATGCATACATTTTCTGTTTTATTTATTTACTTGGGACATATTCTGTTTGGGAGATCTTGAAACTTAAAGAAGGGTGTCCCTTTCTAAAGCTTGTAATTGTTTGTTTTATCAATAAAAAAAGTCAGTAAAAACTATTAACTCAAGTGCTTGTCTTTATGTGCGAGTGTGTTCAAGTGCAAAAGAGCGTGGGTACAAGCACACGTTATACATATTACTGCATACTAATATATGATACCTCCCCAAATTCAGAGCAGCTAAGAAAAAATGCAGGAGTGGGAAGTAAGTCAGGTAGATTGGATCAACACAAAATAGCACCCAAAAAGGGCGAGCCAACACAGAATAATTAAGTGAATACTGGGAACACCATAACTGACTTGTTCAATTTTGACCAACTGGCAACAACAATTAAATATGAATTACTTACATGTAATTTTTTTTACACATGTTGCACAAACTCAGGATTCAGAAATGAGAAGCCCATGAATTCAGTTTGGTCCAGATTCATCATGAAAAGTTTGTCCGTAGGAGTAAGATCAGTTTTTTCTGATGTGAATTGCTTATCAAAGTTACTCACATCTTTACGATGTTTCTAGAATGTAATAAAAGTATACATGATTAGTATTAAGTGATTCTGACAAATTATACCAACAGTTTAAATCAAAAGCATAGGTAATCTGAGAAAGGTTTATAATATGAATAAAGCAATCTAATCAATAGAAAATCAGACGTTTGCTTTGATACTTGTTTAACAAAAGAAATTACCATGATCTTTTGAACTCTTCTGAACATTTCTTAGTGAACACATCTTTGGCAAGACTAATATACTCATGTAGAGGATGACTGTATTCTCACAAAAATAAAGTAACAATTGAACTTACAATTCTTGGTTTGAAAGGGGGTTGCACTTCTCTGTTTTCAATTTTCTCCCAATCAATGCGTCGAAAGAATGCATGCCCACGCACATCTTCTTCTCCTCTGGGACCACAGCCTAAACGCTTAACTGGATTCTTTGTCAAAAACTGTAAAAAAAAAAATATATATATATAAATTCACCTTCTATTGTTTCCTTCTTAAAGTAGTTCTATCAAATGATAGTCTTAAAAAAATGTTTCATGACTCTGATTGAAATTTCTACTCAAAAAAGTTTGGAAAATATATTTTTAGTCTATTTCATGAAAGTGGCATATATATTTTTAAGTCCATTAAATGAAGCAATGATTCCAGTAACTACACACAACTTCCTGCGATATAAAATCAACAAATGTTCAATAATCCAAGATACTTTCTGGATTCAAAATCTTTCTTCACACTTTTATATTTTTAGAAATGCAAAAGATTTCAGGAACTTACTCCTTTACATGCTTCTTTTGCCTCTTTTGATAAACTCTTTGGATAGGAGACATTGTGATCTGTAATAGCTGCAAAAAGTTCTTCTTCATCTTCTCCATCAAAAGGTGGCTGCCCCACTAGCATTTCATAAAGTAGAACTCCATAAGCCCACCAGTCTACCGATTTTCCATATGGTTGATACAATATAATCTGTTACAAAATGTGTACAAATAATTTAAAAAAATATTTTCATAGGGAATTATAGTTTTGGAACCCACACCATACCTCAAAATCTTCATATTTAACATTAACACTATTAATAGTATTAACATAATTATTAATGATAATAATAATAAATTGAGACAACAAAGTATGCATATGCGGGAAGCCAGAATAGTCAGAATGGTTAAATTTTGGGATAAGTTTCACTGCAAGTAAATTAATCTCTGTTCTTCAATGTGAAATAAGTTTCAATATGTGATGTTATGAATTGTATATTCTTATAACACAAATCAACAACACAGTAGAGCATAGGAGCATTTGAGTAGAGCATAGGACAAAAAGAAATTTTAGAGTACAGAGCTTAAAGGATTATAAAGGACTCAAAAGAATTGTGAAAAATTAAAGGAGATTTGAGTTCTCAAATCTTTATTAGTTTTCTTCATTTGAGAAATCAAATACCCCAACAAATTTCAAATGCATAAAACATATGATCACTTATAAATATATTTGAATAAAAATGAGATACCTCCGGAGCTATGTAATCAGGGGTGCCACAAAAGGTTTTTGTAGTTTTGTCACCATTTATTCCCTCCTTACACATTCCAAAGTCAGCAATTTTGATATGACCATCCTGATCTAGCAATACATTGTCCAGTTTTAAATCACGATACACAATGCCTCTGACATGTAGATAAAAGAGACCAATGGCAATCTCAGCAGCATAGAATCTGAAGGGATAAGGAATTTTGAAGGGTAAATGCTTCAGTTTTTTATTCACTTAACACACATACAACCACAACTATTGACAGAAGCCAAATGATTGTTACTTACACAGCAACAGGTTCCTTAAATTTACCACATTGCTGGATTTGAAACATAAGATCTCCTCCATTCACATATTCCATTACAAAGTACAAACGATCCTGAAATGAACAGACATTTTTAGGTAAAAGATGGTACAAATCACAAAAAGACAGGACAATTAATTTAGTAGAAGCCAATTTATATCCATTTGCTCCTTCATTTTCTTATATTAAATATGCAATATCCTTCACTAGTCAGTTATTTATGATGTCTATAAGTTGAAAGGTAATTAATATATTCAAGTAAAATAGAAAAATTAATATTAGTATGAAAATAATTTTACCATAGTTTGAAAGCAAGAATGAAGTTGTACTAGGAAAGGTGGTTTTGCAGAGAGAGCCAAAACCCGTTTTTCAACCATAGTGCATTCCACATCATCATCTTGAATTATAATATCTTTCTTCAAAATTTTTATAGCATAGAGTTCATCAGTACCTTTACGCTCAGCAAGCATCACCTGGAAAGTAACACAAAGAATCACAGAATAAAAGTCAATGTATAAAATATAGCATTAAGGATGAGAAATCGTAATTATATTTACCTTCCCAAAACTACCTTTTCCCAAAACCATGAGAAAATTGAAATCTGATGCTCTTATCACATCTTTCTTTCCCATGTTGTGGGGAACATCTTTATCAGAAGTAACAGGAGCCTTCTTTGTAATGGAAGTTTTCTATAGAAATTGAATTCCATTATTACACAATGCTTTAACATAAAATAAAAAACTAATGTAGTAATATGAATAATGTAATATTAAGAAGAATATGGGAAGAACTGAAGTTTAAGACATTGGAGGTGACAGAAAGGAGGAAAAGAAACAGAATAGGGCATACCTAGAGAGGAAAGGCTGTTTCAAGAGCAAGTCCTAAAAGGATATATTGTTGGGAAAAAAGAAAGAAGAAAATCCAAATACTGGACGAGGTTTATTTTTTTAAAAATCTTTTTACGTTAAAATCTGTGTGTGATGTTCTATGGTAACATTTATGTCCAGATGCAAAACAAGGGATATCTCAGCATTTGCTCAGGAATCAGGGAAATGGGACAAAAACCTGATCAATATGATTAAAGGGAGGTAATTAAAGGGATGAACTACAGAGATCTGAAGAATAAAGCTGCTGACAGAAGTGTATGAAAAAGGCAAGCATCCTTTCAAGATTCATATGTTCTTATAACGACAATGATAATATAAAATATAAATCTTCTCAATGACTTTTTAGAATTAATTAATTTATTCATTTATTCCCAAGATACGAGTACGTAAATGACCTTGTAAAATAACTTACTCTCATTTGTGTCTTTAGTGATGCAAGGTCTGCTCCTTCCTCAGGAACAGGCACATTATAAAATTCTCCTTCTTCTTGAGTCAGCAACTTGTACCAACCTTCAACAGGTGCTTTAATAAGCTCCGAGATTCCAAATGATAAAGACCCCATAAAATCATTCCGTGAAGTCCTGTCCCAATCCCATACCTCTACCAACAGACGTCGATCCTTATCTTCTGGTTTCAGCTCACTTTAATAAGGAACATAAGAAAAGATAAAAAGTATTTTGTTTACTTCATATTAAATGTTACCTTCTGCCTAAATCTGCTGTATTAGTAGGTAATACATTACAACTATATATAGTACTCAATTGTTTTCAAGATGCTGTATAATATACTAAATGAAGCAATTGAAGATCTTCGCTCTAATGATTAACTTCAAACACTTTCGTATTTAGAAAAATAATTTATCAAATTAATGGACTTACAAAGTTAATGTTTCATTCCAGACCGGATTCAAGGATGAGCGGATAGTTTTTGTTTTCTTCTTTACATTGTCAGAATCTGGTATAAGTTTAAGCTTTACATATGGATCTGACAGTCCATTGGGATCCATAGGAATGAGATTACGAGCCTGACGCACTGTAAAAGTATGTATTTTTATCAATGTTATATAAACACATTCCCAAAACAAAGTCATGTAACAAATATTGATTCGCAGAATTTTCCACCAATTTTTATCTTAACCTTTTTTTGATCTAGGAAGGTCTAAAAGAAAAGACGAGAAAAAAAACACAATTAATAAAGGTTCACTACTTTTGAAATAATTACCTTCAATTGTAAGTTTGTTGCCAGCACAAACAATTTTCATTTCAAGACGTCCTCGGCGCTCTGTATGATCACAACCACAGAGATTCGGTACCGACTCTTCACATCTTTTGTGTACATTCATGTCACATGCTGAAACATAACAAGTTAGCCCATAATTTTTTCTGGTAAGTAAAAGTTGTGTACAACATCAGATCAATAAAAAATTATCAGACTAACTCATCAACAAATAATTTTTATTTGACAAAAATCCAAAAAACCTTAGAAATTTTGTCTGATAATTTTATGCAAGTTGCATGTATTATTTTACCACAATTGTCATGAATGTTGTCATGTAAAACTAGTTGTCTCAGAAGTATGTTAATTTTTTACTTGTTTTTGTAACTTTCCTCATATATTCATTCACCTAAAAATCTTGTTTGTATATAGAGATAGATAGATAGATATACACATACAGGCACAACAATCCTGACTTCAGTTTATTTGGACTGTCACTTTCAGCTATAAAGGTGTTTTGTAACACACATGCTACATTAAAATCGATAGTATTAATATTTTGGAAAAATCACTTTCTCAATGTCAGAAAAACAAGATTACAATACCAATAATCTAGCAAAAAGGGAATTCCATGCAAAAAAAAAGAAAAAGAAAGGTACAATCATTCATCAAAAGAAAAGGTACTGTTTACAGCAGCAATCAATACATTATTTTTAACTTATATTAAACTACCATGTAATACTTTAGTACACAACTACACCATTTCTTTTACAACATTGCAATTTAACAACATTTATTTGATCCAGTTGCAAATCACATGGGTTCGAACTATACAACTACCTTTGAAACCGATTCAAACAAATGCTGTTAAAATAATAATAATAATAATAATAATAATAATAATAATAATAATAATAATAATAATAATAATAAAAATAAAAAAGAAATGTATTTAAAAAGAGCTAAAACATTCAGTGTATATAGACACGGAAAATTTGCAATATGTACTAAGAAATGTATTTTCAGGTGATCTAGGTATTGGACTACCTGGGACACAAATAGTAATACAAATCTGGAAAGTGCAGCCTAATGAAAGCTCTCATGCTGGTAATTGGCATCTTCTATATTAATTGTCAATTAGTACAGCTGAAATGCACTCAGGATCCCCAAGGAGGGAGAACCCCGATGGATTAGGGCCAGCACTGAGAATCCTAACAGCAAGGTGAACCTTGTCTACTTAGAAAGCATTGTCCAAAAGTTCCAATTCCCAGAAAGGTTAAAGGAAGCAAAAAGTATCTCACAAGTATTTAACCAAACCCAGTTTTGGGGGAAAGGGTGGGGAGGATCTGTAATAAATAAATACCTCCGTGGATGGTAAATTGGAAAGCACATCACAGCACTCGTGCTTGCAGCGAGCAGTTATGTACATGGTGGGTTTGCTTGTGCAGAACACACACTTTGCAAACTGTGAGGAGAAGTAATATGATATTTTAAATGTAAATTACATCTAATTTGAAATTACTCTCACTTCTGTTGGGTCTGTACAAACTGAAGATGTGTATTTTAAACTTTTCTTCTTTTCCGCAGTTTTATACAGTTGTGCTCTAAGTAAATATTTACATTCCAGCTAATATATACATTATTATCAATTCACATCATAAAATTAACTTCTTAAGGAGCAGTAATTACACATTATAAGAATAAAAATATACAACGCCATTCCTCTGAAATACACTAGTAGTAATCAATAAATTGAATGAAAATGTGAGATTGTAGCATTGAAATAAACAAATTTTGTTTTCTAACACTTTACCATGGATAGCTTTCATTTTTGTTACATCAACAAAGCAGTATAAGACAAAACTGAAGTTCTTTGTATTTTTCTTTCGTCTTTTTCACATGGTAATATTTCATTAGTTTAGAAATAACAATGGATTCATTTCTTCACAACTTCAAAAAAGAATTAAAGTAAACTGCAGTCTGTTTAATTTATCTATTTCTTTTACTAATATCAGCAAATCATAAATCTAGAATCCCAATATGTTTATATTGTTTAAAATTCAACCTGTTTGGTTTATTGTTCTTTCAGGTTACTTTCAAAGTCATTTATGAATTGAAATAAAGTAGTTTTAATGTTATTATGAGTACATTGTTATATGACTAGTACTATAAATGAATCTGGTAGCATTGTCTTATTGTGTTTTTCATCAGAGAGGCAGTAATTGTATTAAAACATTAATGTTCAAAAGAATATTACAACTTTTAATTACAATCAAATTTTCATTAAAATAACTAAACAAATTACACACTGTTAGGTGAAATACATGTATCAAAGTGGTTTCTTTTCTGAAAATGATTTCCACACAGTCAATCATTAAGATGCTTTTATTGAAGCTCATCCAAAAAATTTGGAATACTCCAAAGAATTTTATTGTTTGATAACATCAGAAATTATGAACATTATTTCACTTACTAGTACACATGTTTATTTAACTACTCTGAAAATCAACAACTCCTTCACGTATATTCTAAGTAGATAAACACGGAAAAATCAGTTCAAAGAACACTACAAACAAGAATGATTAATAGAATTACAAATAAAACTTTAAAAATTTAGCACATCAGAAATGAATTCATCTCTAAATTACAAAGGGTATTTTTTTCATTAGGAAAATTATCAATTTCCAAGGACGGTTTTATAAAACAGTTTCAATTTTTAAAAAAACCAAAGACCTGACTTGGATTCCATTGAACTTTACCATATTTTAACGTTATTTTCTACTGGAAAGTAATAGATTTTTTTATGGGATAACAGTAACAAATGATACATTTTTTCTTATCAATATCCAATCTACAGCCTTGAAAATGAAAAGTTATCATAGTACATATACAAAAGATTTTTAATTTTTTGTTTCAGTGAAAACCTAACATGATTCTACAAATATTATTGGTAGAGCCTGGAAGTTTGGCAAAATGCCTTTTTCTTATTATGGTTTTATGACAATTATTTTTTAACAATAGGAATCACTTAATTGTATTTCTGGAGTCGTTTTAGTATATTTTCATTTTGCCTTTTTCTCTATCATGCTGAAAACATACTTGCAAGCCAAGACAATGTGAAGACGCATTCACGTATTGTTTTCCTTTAGACGCGAGGGCTCCAGTGTCAGGTTGTGTTAAAAATTTAAAAGGGAAAGGAAGAAGATACTAGTAAAGATTTTTGATAATTTTGTTTCATGCTGACACACTTTTTCGCTTATGAGCAATCTCATCCAATGTTTGTGTATGGCCTCTAATCCCTTTTGACGATAGAGCTGCCTATACATGATATACCCTTCTCAGTTCTTTCTTGATCTCTCTTCTCTTCTGGTGATTACACAAGTACAAAGAACGAAATATATAATTCCATTTTTACTGATACCATTTCAAAATTCAAAACAGAGTCCACAATAGCATTTTGTAGAGATAGCATCACAAGTAAAATAAATTAATAGTCATCATATCAGATGGTCATATGCAATCAAGATTGCAAAGAAAAGGATGTTTCCTTCCATGCAAGTGCATGTACATTTTAGAGTTGGAATAAAACTTCAAATCGTTTTGATGATTGTTTTCTTTACCATAATTACTTTTAAATGGTGATTTTTCAAGTTTCCTGTGTTTTTACCCCTACTGTATCCAGAATAAATGCCTTTTTTTGCATGCCTATATTCGTGCAAATAAATATCTTTTTGCCTTCTAATTTTAGGTAAAATAAATTGCTGAACTTCCGGACTCTAATTATTGGGTATGAACCAAGCAAAATGTAGACTAACTATTTTATTTTTGCTACATAAAACACATTCATGTACTTTAATGCCCAGGCAGTACTCGCTCAGAGAAAAAAGTCTTCACTGAACATGAGTACATCTGCAAGTGAATGTGTTTGTAATTTCTGCTTTATTAACAAAGAAAAATATTTCATGACATCATGGAACATTCACTTTTTTATACAGACTTGAAGATTATTATAATTGGTAAATCATGAAAGGAGAGGTAAAAAAATAAATATTTTTTTGAAAACTATAACATGAACATATTGGTATTATAAACATGAGAATGAGTAAGTTGTTGAAAAAATTTTAATGAGGAATAGAACCCATTATTTCTAGCTATGAATTGAAATTTAGAATTAAATTATCAATGAACTAAAACATACAATTTATTTATCACCACACACTGTCACCTATTGGGTAAGCAAATATATTGGAATCTTGCACCGAACAGTAAATACCACCCTTTTTAAGATAATGTAACTATGTTACAATTTGTATTTAATATTTCAAATTATTAAAACTACTTATGTCTACACCTGACCAGAATGACCAGACAACTGACCAGAAACCGCAAAACATTAGTTTGATTCCTCATTTGAAATTCCAATGATACCAAATTGAAAAGGCAAAAACGAAATATTCCATGTGGCATTAAATATTCAAGCATCCACCTATAGAACATTATGTTGGAAGGAATAGAAATCAGAAATAGAATTTCTATTTCTCCCTAAAATATAACCTATTTCAATCTTATATGATTGTTTTCTTTCAATTCTAGACTTCAAGATTAAAAACCTTGATAAAATTAATTACTGACTGTACAATAATAATTTCTGGAAAAAAAAAACAACAAATACACCAGAATAGATACTGAACTAGCATTTGTGCTGGTAAGCGACAACATGGATTTTCTTCAACTAATTTATTATTCTGTGCAAGACAGTTTCTGTGCTTCATTTTCTATAGATGAAATGATCAAAGGAACTATAGGATACAGGGAATTTCCAATGAAGTGAAGGGCAAATTAGTTTCATGTTACTTGTACATTTCCAGGTCTGAGATACTATGTGTATTGCATTGACATCTATATCATCGTGAAACATGAATATAGACTATCAAACATGAATTGGAACAATGAAAACAAATTCTGTTAGACATACAATTAATATATGAAGGATGCTACAGACAGGTCAACTAGTATGTATGCCCTAAAGTCCCTTGATTTTTAGACACCTGCCCTCTGTACGTGGCAGAACAGGTTTTCATGCTCTAACCTGTACATTTGAGTCCCTGGTGTGAGATTCCATGTAGCATGGACCCACAGTGGTCGCAGAAGGTCGGGGTCAAGAATGTGAAAACATCCCACTTGTGCTTGGTTTCTGCAGCCTGGCAATAAGAGTATATTATATAGTACATGTTCAATATAAGCTAATTGTCCAGCCCATCCTTGCATCTAGAGAGCATTCTCAGCACTGACAAAAGCAGCAAACTGAAACTGGAGGAATAAATAAAATTATGGTATGGTTAAATACAATGCACAGATAGATGACATGGACATTTAAGAGCACACACACACACACACACAAATTTGAAATGAACTTCCATTAAATTAGAAGTCACAAGTTTCAAAAACAACTAATATTAAAATTTGAGTAGAACACACAGTACAAACAGATTCAGCAAGCAAGACCATGCAAACATAACAAAACTATCAGAAAAATAAAACAATAACAAACCAAACACACTGTGCTAAAATCCGATCAGAAGTTCATGTAAGTCTGAAACTTAACTCAACAAGTACATAAGACCAAGAATGAAAGTTGAGAAATACAATAACATATTTTAGGTATTTGATAAAGCTAGTAATTAGCGATATTCACTAATAATTTGTTCATTTTACTAATAATACACTTTCAACAATATTTCTCTCACCACTTCCCTAAGAAGAAAATTTCTTAGAAAATACTTTGGTATATACAAACTATCAAAAATTAAATTTTGTCATTCTTGTTCAGTGATTATTTATAGCCAAACTTATTTATTGCTCAAGATTAAAAAACTTATATTTATCATTTATTAATAACAATAATGTATAGAGAGATCCAACAATCTACATTTATAATTTCATCCATGGGTTTGGTTAGGCTTGGTTTCACTAAAAACAATATTTTGAAATTACATTCAAACCTAGTATAATTATCCTCTTCAAAAATACATTTACTACATGTATTTCAATGGAGGGGTAGGGTCAATGCACCAGTTTCATTTTTGCAGTGATTCTGTCAAAGTTCCTTCATGTATATATTATAAGAAATATCCCTGTACTAAGGACCATAAAAATGTACACAGGAACAGGTTGGATCCAACCAATCATTTGAGGCGGCCATCATAGATTTTTGTTAATAAACATTTGTTATTATATTGTATATTATTTTGTAGTGTATATATGATACTATAGAATTAAAAAAAAATTACATAATTCTGTCATAATTAAATATTTAAACCAATTTTGCCAAATAAACGACAGTAACTAACGAAAACTTTATGCCTTTCAGTGGCATGACACCCCCCTCCCTGGATCCACCATCTTATTACAAATTAGAATCCAACTTTACACAGGCATCTTCCGAAAGGACAAAGCCACTGTTCAGTGAGCAAAGGTCGAGGGTACTTTCTTTTCTAATTTCATATAAACTTTCATTTAATTCCAACGGTGAAGCAAGCAATTTAAAAACTTAAAGAAATATCAATAAATCAATCCTGAAAACTAATTAAAAGAGAGTTAAGTAAACATACTACATGAAAATAAAAGACCTGAACAACTACATTTTCAAAATTTCAAAACGACTTTTATAGATATTAAAATTACAATCTCATTTACAAAGTTCTTCAACTCTGATGCACAAGAAATTTTCTTAATAAACCAACTTATTTTAGCAAGAGTTAGCATTTTCTAGTAGGTTAGGTTGGTTAAGAATGCATCATAAAAAATCTAGATAAATGCACTGTTAATAAACTACTGTTGAACAGCACTGGATTGACTTGTATACTGGCTGTGCTTAACTAATAACTTATGCTTAACAAATGCCATCTGGGACACTTTAGTAGCCGTCTGCTAGGCGGTATTGGCTCAATCCTGCATGCTAGCTGCCACACAACAGTTCAATGTAAAGGTTTAATTTCAAATAGTTATCATTAATTATAGAAAAAGTACTGAAGGAAACTTGATACAATGGTTAATAATACACTCCTTTACAGTTATGAAACAAGTGAGGAATGAGAGAGTGTCATAATTCTACTCCATGCTTGAGTATTAATACCTGCCATTACATCATCCTTTCATCAAATACTACTAATCAATCTGTGTTAAAAAAATAAATAAATTACACTTTTATTTTTTCAGAGATTAGAGAAATATCTATGAAAATGAAGTTATAAATGGAATTTTTTAACACACAGTGAGAGAAATATTGTCAAATTAACCGAGAGACAAATGTAACAATGTATGGCACCCCGAGTCAATTAAGTCAATATTGCTGAACAAAAATCCAACACAAACAATAGCAACAACACACATTTTTCTTGATAAACATCGATTTTTATATTCTACTTTTTTAAATTCTATTTAAAAAAAATCTTTTAAGTGTCAGAAAGTACCAAAGCAATTTGCATACTATACACTCAATCTTCCTTACATGCTCAGAGTAATATATAGTCACATTTACTAATAAAAAATTAACAATAGTTTGATTTAAAATTTGCAGAAGCATTTGTTTGAGCTATAAAGATAATAGTCTGAATTGCAGTTTTTAAAGGAAGTGGTGTTGATTTTAAGGTCAATAAGAACAAAATGAACATGCCTATTTGTTAAACAGTATTGTTCTTTTAAAAAGTGGAGAAGTGCATTTTAATGGTCATACTTTTGCATGATCAAAATGTACAAGTAATTTTCGCATAACAAAAATTATACTGTGTGTTGCATAGTCAAAACAAATTCTAAACTAAATCCAAACCATAAAAATACCAGTTTAAGTATCTCATTTTGAAATTGCATTTTCAATTATGAAATAATATTTGGGAAAAAAAATCTTTAATTAATTAGAAGAGCATGTCAATTTGATGCTATGTGTAAAAGCAGAAAGTGTTTTATAGATGGAAAAATATATATTTGAAGCATCTTATGTAAATTTAAAGCAAGCCTTTATCATAGGAACAGCAAATTTACAATATTTACAATTACAACTAGTTTCCTGATTTCCAACAAATTTCTAGAACTCAAGGTTGGCCTTCAAAAGAATTTCCACTATGTTCAAAATATTAAAAAAAAAAACCTTACTTTATCCATAATTAACATTTTGCAATGCACAATACCATATTGTTTATGTACAGACACTTAAAGACACAGTTGGAGTGAAAACAAGTCTACAATAATAATTTAAATCATCTTCAAAGTAAATGCTAAAACTCTGCTCCACAATAAGACTTGAGACTGAACCACAAAACGCCACAAATCCTTTCATTAACTCTGTCAAGTGATTTTGTTAAGATTGATATTCATTAATAATAATATTACGAAATAATAATGTAAGTGCACTATATACACCACCACCGCTGCCACCACAGAAAATATGACTCCACACAGAGAAGTTGAAAGCATGAAAAAATACCTCTAGAAACAGAAAGAAAGAAATGAACAAAAAGAGGAATAATTAATGCACAAGCGTAAATGCACAGATGCTCAACAAAGAATTTCTATTCATCAAGCAATTACTTATTTTGCAAGGCTGGTAATCATCAGCACAACGTTAATCATAATAAACAATCCAGGCCTCATCAGCCTGCAGTCAGTCAGCTCCTGTGTCGGGGCTCAGAAGGGGCCTGCCTGTTACCTTCACACTTCATGCCCTGGTGCAGGACGCCATACAGGAGGGAGCCGCAATGGTCGCAGAACGCGGGACTGCTATAGGTGTGGACCTTGAAGCGGTGCTTTGTCCGTGAATCCTGCATGCAAAACAATCACATACGCTGCTTATGACAGCTACTTCATAATTCTACATATCCTGCCATCATATATTGTACGAAAGTGATAAAAAATTAAAAACTACATTAAGGACTCGGGTAGTTTACCTGATGGCACAAACTTGTTTAAAAAATCATGCTCTCAAATGTGAACTATCTATTACCATTGTATTCTGATTCTCCTTCTGCTTCCTTCCTTTCTGAAGTTGAAAATCTCTGAAGATATGTTTCAGTCTATCAGATTAGTCTCAGTCAAGCCTGAATTTAAATATTTGTGATTCTCATGTAATATACTTGTTGCCTATATACATAGTATCTTGATATGCAACCAACAAACTATGTATGATGGAACATAAGAATGTCCAAACACTGAATTCAAATGAATTAGAGATGATTCAAGGAGGTAGAGAGTGGTAATATATGTGCGCTCTACATCTTTCATCTAAGTGTATTTCAAGAATGGATGAATTTCCCACAATTTACATACCTGTGCAAGCCAGATACCATTCTCTCAGAAAATTATTTTTTTCTCTCTTAAACATTGAAAGAATGAAAATATATTTACTTAATGGCACAAAATAACATGATGTACCACAAACCATTCTCACAATTTAGAATCTTGAAGAAACCCATTGAGAATGATATGTACAGGAACGTTTTTGTTCATTTTTTCCCTCCTTCATCTACAATTCATTGAAACTGCTACATATTTTTGAGGTTAAATGCAAACAAAATTTTTCATTTCTCCCCAGAATTTCAATTGGCACATCTACCACCTAATGAGGTTGTTCAGTCATTATATTTGTAACAAACGTCAGAGTTATTTACTAATAATATTCCGCCCTTCTGAGATAATTTGATCAACTAATTTGAAAAAAAAAAAAAAAAAAAAAAAAAAAAAAAAAAAAAAAAAAAAAAAAAAAAGATTTTACATACTGCAATAACATGCCACATGCCAACACTACGTACTGTGTGCATAATTATAAATGAAGTACCACTATTTTCAATGAAAATAGGACTTTACAGTCATATTTATATTGAAATTATATATTATAAAAGTCAATAAATCAAATCTATACAACTACATAAGTAGCAAATAAACTGAAGAAAGCTTGAGTTGGTGACCAACAGGAAAAAAGTATTTAATGGGTCAACTATTTATGAAGTATTCCACTCTTGTAACAGTAGGGCAATTTAAAATTTGGGTTCCATTAAACATCTTGAACCCAAACACATCTGAATATTACTGTAATTATTTTTTGTTGTTAAAACAATCCACTTATTCTGTGATTTTTGTTTCAGAAAATATTCATTAAAATAATTTTAAACATTTCTAAATTTGAATTTATATTCTCATTTTCAAATAACTGTGATAGTTGTTTACACAAAGAAAGAAATAAGTGATATACGAGATCCCATTTGAAAGTGAAAAACAAAAAACCAGTCAAAAACAAATGTGTAAATAGAGTCTTTCAACTCTTTCACAATTCTAAACCGACAATTAAAATTGCTTACTTTCATAAGTAGTGTGCATCATTTAAAGGGTGGAATAATTTTTATAATTATTATAAATGAGTTTATAATTCAGCTGTATTACTCATGTAATTTGTTACAATTTAATCAATTCATCATTGACGAAGATCCATTCATAACTATATTTGCCTATGAATTTTACAAATGTCAGTTTCACGAGTAGCTTTGATACACATATAAAATGCTCTTCCAATTGCTACACTTCTTAAAATTCAACCTAAGTAAAGTTACTATTAAATTATTTTGACATCACAAATAATTTTGAAAATCTGAATAGCAAGGATAAAAAAAAAGCGTTGATTTCAAAACAATGCAATTTTAATCGGCTAAGTCCAGATCTACTCATTATGTTTACTAAAGTCAACCTTAAGGAAAGCACACACCAGGCCGTTGCATGCAGTAATGACTCCCAGTAGTATTGAGACAACTTTACAGGACTTCGAAGTAAGACAAGCAGATTGATAGTCTAAATCCCCTTTGTTACATCACATGCAGCCACTTTCCTGAAGATCTTTTATAAATATTCATGCATGCCCAATTTCATTTCACTACAACTACATGCATGAATGAGCAATCTGCTGCCAAGAAGTTAATTTACTATGTTTCACTAATATTTTTTCTATTTTACAATGTAGCTTCAGAGCACAAATCTAATTCTCACTTTATAAACAACATTCCAATCTTGAGGTAAAAAACTGTAATAAACAAATTCCTCAAATTGGAAATAAACCCTGCAAATAACAAAGAGTAATTTTCTTCAGTCCTTCAGAATAAACAACTCACTTTACAAAGGTCAGATATGTCTTTAATTTCATGGTCATTGATACGATTGTCACAAGATTGTGACTGTATTAGGTTGCATTATTAATTTCAATTGACAATGCAACAATGCATGCCTAATTGAAAAAAATTGAATACTTTGAAAAAGAAAAAAGAAAGGAAGAAACTAGTTTTCAGACAATCCAAACAAGTAATTCAATCAATTTTAATAACACCTTGTGGTATGTGATATGTTTACTATTCTTAACACATGGATGTCACAGAAATAAACATTTAATAAATTTTATGAAGAGTTGAACAACTTCTCTGGGATTATTGCAAATAATGTGTAAATATATTGGTTGTATTAGGTTGAATTTGAATGAATTGGTTATATTTTACTTGTGATATATCCTTCTCTTAATTTACAAATGTTATACTAAACAATCTAACATTGAGAGCCCCCAAAAGTGAGTCAATACTATGCACAAACATTAATTTTAAATGTCCTGCAAATTGGTAAAAAGTAGACTTACACTGAAACAAAAAAATATTATCTACCATAAGTTATTAATTTTTTTCTTGCAGGAATCTTGCAGCGATCACCGCATTCCACATCTCCAATGCCTGTTTCTGATATTCTACATTAGCGGGGATGGTCTTTCTGTTGGGGTATCAGCCCATCATCTGACCCTATTAAGGAGAGGGGACTTGATGAGGAGGATCACATGCAGTTCATGGTCCACTGTTTATGGTACTGATCTGGCATCCACCTAGAATTGATCAGTGGAAACCATAGAAAGGACTGATCAGAGCAGCCACCTTGGAACTCTCATCCAGCAGTGGACGACTTCAACTCAGCTACATATTTGTCTGGCGTTGAAAATCTGCCACAGTTGACTTGATCCTAGCACCAACTGGTAATTGCAGACTCATAACTACATATACTATTGTCCCTAGCATCATCACTAAATTTAAAGCTAAAACACTGGATATTTTTCTTAGGTCATACACAACATAAAATTTCTTCTTTTTTCTGAAAACAACGACAGATATAATTCAAATACCTGTTCAAATTACAAGCTAGAGACTAGCAAAGAGAAAATAGGTTTTATTAGTTAAAATTAAAAAATTGATTAGAATGAAAGGTATTGTAAGTGTATCAGTTGCAAAAGCCATAGCAGTAACAGAGTATTTCCTCTATGATGTATTTCACTGACACCTTTCTTCCATGATACTTTAATTATTTCATTTCTTTAAGATATGATAAAAATTTGTTTATGAGATACTTGACTTTCAACTATCTTTAAGAATATTTATTTTAACTAAGAACAAGAGCCTATTACACCAACCATCTTCAAATACGATAAGGCAAGTGAATATGGCAGTATGAATGTTGTTCAGCAGATGACAACATACCTTCAGTAATGATGCTAAGATTTTGATCAACATTTTACACTCGATGTGTGACCCCTATGAATTTACAACGTAGGTATCATAAGCTCCCACTGTGAAAACAAGAGTTTAAAAAAAGATAACACTTTTTTCTTTCATGAGTATATAACTTATCTGTTGTATACACTGAAAATGTGTTTCTTTTTAGGGTTCTAGTAATGTTGTGAGTCGGTTTAATACATATTTCTATTTATTATAATATACATTATGTATAGTCAACACACTAAACACACATAGTCACACAAAATAATTCACCTTAATTCCAGTTGTGCATGGGGTACTAGCAATAAATTCCCAGACACTCATGGTATTACTTACTATAACATTAATAATATTAACAAAAATAATAAAAATATTTTACCACCATTAAAAGTTAAAAACTGACAGCCCAATAAAAGTATTCAAGACAATGAATGAAAATCCAACAATACCTAGTAAAAACCAGTTGCATGTCACCTGTAATATCTGAACGCTGTCTAACATCCTTTTTCTGGAAGTGGTTGTTGAACAACACATTCCAATCCTACCTGTATTTTGGACACTTTTCTAACTTGAATACCATAAAGGTAGTATATTAAATCTCCAAGTGAAGATTTTCCTTCCGCAATTTAAAAACAAAATTCTGCAGTCCCCATTGAACAAGAATGCCAAGAAGGGAACAAAACCAATTATGGAAGAGGTAAAGATACAACAAATAATTAATAAAAAGATCACACACTAATCTTCATCAGCACTTTTAAATTGTTATGTTTCTTTTACAGACAACTATATCCCCAATTAATAAGAACTCATTAATATTAACATTATCGCTGAACATGCTGAGAAATGGTTTAGGAACACAACATGACAATATCTAAATTGAAATAATTTTTTTGAAGAGTCATATTAATTTTTAGAAGTAATGCATTAGTGATTTTAAATTTTAAAGCAATAAAATAATAAATCATTTGTTAGACACAAAAAAAAAAACATTACTACTTTTTTGCAATTTTCAATAACTCTAATACTTACATCAGAGTCAGCACCTTTGTCAGCACCCGGGCAGATGAATGAGACATATTCATGGCACCTTTTATGTACAACAAAGCTGCACACTGGAAAATAATAAGGAAAAAAGGTATAGTAATGGTTGTACATATTCTCATTTCACAAACATATTAAAAAACATGATAGACAAATGAATAAACATGTGAATGAGTGTGAGCTCAAGAGACAGACAGACGAGAAGGAGAGTCACAACAACAGGGAGAGCGAGAAAGAGAGAGAGAGAGAGAGAGGCAAAAACTCCGAAAGAGAGAGAGAGAGGCAGACTCGGAAAAAAGGAAAGAGAGGAAGCCCCGGAAACAGAGAGAGAGAGAGAGAGAGGGGGGGAGAGGGAGTCCCCGAAGGAGAGGAAGAGGAAGAGGAAGAGGGAGTCCCCGAAGGAGAGGAAGAGGGCAAGAGCGGAGTCCCCCGAAGGAGAGGAGAGGAAGAGGGAGTCCCCGAAGAGAGGAAGAGGAGAGGAAGAGGAAGTCCCCGAAGGAGCAGGAAGAGAAGAGGGACGAAGAAAGAGAAGAGGGAGTCCCCAAGAGGAAGAGGAAGAGGAGTCCCAAGGAAGAAAGAAGAAGGTCCGAAGAGAAAGGAGAGAACGAAGGAAGAGGAAGAGCGAGGAGAAGGGAAAGGGAGTCCCCAAGAAAGAGAGCAGAGAAGAGGAAGAGGAGTCCCCGGAAGAGAGAAGAGAGAGGACCGAGAGAGGAAGAGGAAGAGAAGAGAAAGAGGAAGAGAAGAGGGAGTCCGCCGTAAGCGAGATACGAAGAGGAAGAGGGAGTCCCCGAAGGGAGAGGAAGAGGAAGAGAAGAGGAGTCCCCGAAGGAGAGGAAGAGGAAGAGAAGAAGGGAGTCCCCGAAGGAGAGGCAAGAGGAAGAGGGAGTCCCCGAAGGAGAGGAAGAGGAAGAGGAAGAGGAAGAGGAAGAGGGAGTCCCCGAAGGAGAGGAGAGGGAAGAGGAAGAGGGAGTCCCGAAGGAGAGGAAGAGGAAGAGCGAAGAGGGAGTCCCCGAGGAGAGGAAGAGGAAGAGGAAAGAGGGAAGTCCCCGAAGGAGAGCGAAGAGGAAGAGGAAAGAGGGAGTCCCGGAAGGAGAGGAAGAGGAAGAGAAGTCCCCGGGAGAGGAAGAGGAAAGACGGGTAGCAGAAAAGGAAGAGGAAGAGGGAGTCCCCGAAGGAGAGAAGAGGAGAGAGTCCGAGGAGAAAGAGGAAGAGGAAGAGGGAGTCCCGAAGGAGAGGAAGGAAGAGGAAGAGGGAGTCCCCGAAGGAGAGAGAAGAGGAAGAGGAAGAGGAGTCCCCGAAGGAGAGGAAGAGGAAGAGAAGAGGAGTCCCGAAGGAGAGGAAAGCGAAGAGGAAAGAGGGAAGTCCCCGAAGCGAGAGGAAGAGGAAGAGGAAGAGGGAGTCCCGAAAGGAGAGGAAGGAAGAGGAAGAGGGAGTCCCCGAAGGAAGAGGGAAGAGGAAGAGGAAGAGGGAGTCCCCGAAGAGAGGAAGAGGAAGCAGGAGAGGGAGTCCCGAAGAGAAGCGAAGAGGAGAGGGAAGAGGAGTCCCAGAAAGAAGAGGGAAGAGGAGTCCCCGAAGAGAGAAGGAAGAGGGAGTCCCGGAAAGAGAGAGAAGAGGGAGTCCCAGAAAGAGAGAGAAGAGGGAGTCCCAGAAAGAGAGAGGAAGAGGGAGTCCCAGAAGAGAGAGGAAGAGGGAGTCCCAGAAAGAGAGAGGAAGAGGGAGTCCCAGAAAGAGAGAGGAAGAGGAGTCCAGAAAGAGAGAGAGGAAAGGGAGTCCCAGAAAGAGGAGGAAGAGGGAGTCCCAGAAAGAAGAGGAGAGGGAGTCCAGAAAGAGAGAGAAGAGGGAGTCCCAGAAAGAGAGAGGAAGAGGAGTCCAGAAAGAGAGAGGAGAGGGAGTCCCAGAAAGAAGAGAGGAAGAGGGAGTCCCAGAAAGAGAGAGGAAGAGAGTCCCAGAAAGAGGAGAGGGAGTTCCCAGAAAGAGCAGAGAGGGAGAGTCCAGAAAGAGAGAGGAGTCCCAGAAAGAGAGAGGGAGTCCCAGAAAGAGAGAGGGAGTCCCAGAAAGAGAGAGGGAGATTCAGAAGGAGGTAGACTCAGAGGGTGGGAAGGGGACTCAAAGAGGGACGAACGGAGACTGGGAATGTGATGGTGGGTTGTGAAAAGTCGCCACTTGTCGTTTGAATTATACTGCAGTTCACACGATCTTCGACGGAGTAATCTGATGCTAGGTATTCACTGAGTGTTTTAAGAAAACTATGGTAATGTACTTTGTCATACAGATATATTGGTGGAATGTTATTTTCGCGTGACAGACGAAGGTCCTCGATGACATGGTCTTCTGTGCGCGAATCTACTTTTAACCGAAAACGGTATTTTAGGGACGCCTAAAATATAATTTGGCGAAACGTAAGGCGTGTAGAATCGTTATTAATAATCTCACTGGACGCAGCACGTTTAAGGCAGGTAACTACTGAGGAAGAAGACGTAGCAGCGATTCCAGTAGTTGAATCTGCACAGCCGCTTAGTTACGGAGTCACCTCTGTTTATCCATGCGGCTGATTCCTGGGTTGAAAAACGTCAGCCGTATCAGTTGATGAGATTTGCTGTAGCAGTTGCATTCTGTGAGGTTGACGCAAATTTGTTCGGAAATCCAGGAACCAACATGTACAGAAGCATGACCGAATAAGGCGCGTGTGCCTATCAGGGTTCGTAAGTGCTCTTCAGTACACCCCAGAGAAGCAGTAGCTCTACTAGTGTTTTCATGTCGATGTCTTCTGCCTTCAGTCGCCATCCTGATTGAGGATTCCTGTGTTTACTCAATCTCATGCGCATGCTGGGATGCTCGTTAGGTTGCATTCCCACAAGTGAAAAATATGACTTCTAGGCTGTCCGGGTGACGCCGCGTCGTTGGCAGATAGGCCGACGTTTCGCCTGTCATGTCGCAGGCTTCTTTAGGGTAGTGACCAAGAAGCCTGCGACATGACAGGTGAAACGTCGGCCTATCTGCCAACGGCGCGGCGTCACCCGGACAGCCTAGAAGTCATGAACTAGAGCCGCGGAAGCCTACGTGTACAAGTGAAAAATAGATCTGTCCTCCCTTACCTTTGTTATTTTTAATATAAAGTAAGCGTTTTGCATGGTTAGGCAGAAGAACATGCCTAATGGCGTATTTGGTCAGTTTTACACGTAGGTCATTTAAGAATGCTAGGGTAATCAAATTAAATGCAAGGAATGTAATATACGGAAACTGATTTTTTTGTTGCTTGATCAATGGATCACTTATGGGATATTTTTAAATTTCGAAGGGTTTTGACGTCATTGACCATAACATTGTATTCTTAAAATTACCTTCGTGGTATTGCCCGTCGTAGAATTCGTCGAATTCGTGGTATTGCCCTAGAATGGATATCCTCGTATTTTACGAATCGATCGCAAAGAGTAGAAATACCATCCTGTCAATGTCCATATACTGGCACGAAAGAACATAATTTACTTTTTAATTCATCGTCAACTAAGAGTGAGAACCCGCAAAGTTCAATCTTAGGACCTAACCTCTTTCTTTTCAACGGAAACGATATGTCCTTGTCCAATAGAAACGGAAGAACAGTTATTTTTGCTGATGACACGAAAGTTCTTTGCAAACAAGGAACAAATAATACTATTTCAGAACATATGACATAATATGCTGCTCATCCTTTAGTACACAGACTTTTAGATTGCAGAAAAAATAATACGAATAATATACAAATGCCGTTCACGTGAGTCTCTCTTCATAGAGCTGAAATCTTACCACTACCGTGCATAATCTGTAGTTTCTGTGAAAACTGACTCGCTTAACGATGGGAATATATATTGACGCAACACTGATTTATAAGTATAACACACGCCGTATAAATCACATTCATCAGATGTTAGTCTCAATAACTCACCACAAGAAATCCTACTACAATTCACGTACGTTGCTTTACAACACATTACATTTTAATGGTCCGTTTCATAAGTAATTTTTAAAGTGATGTTTGAAATGATACTAGGTTAGAATATGTAATTTCGTAATATTATGTAACCGTTACCAATACTACGAAAAAATGTATGCTGTCATAGCCCCCTTCTAGTTAAATGGTGCAAAACTGTCATCTTTCCTTACATACATCCATTATTCCATCTTTACAATCATTGATTAATAAAAGAAGTCTGAATTTAATAAAGCGATCTATTTTTGTCTTTGCGTCCGTTGTATCTTTCTTGCCGACTCTTTATTGTTTATGTGATCAAGTATTACATATTGCATACACTCCATTTTTGTAACAATAAGACGAAGTAAAGCATGCGTGTTAAAACGCCACGCGGAGAAGATAAAAGGTGCGAGTAGATCATGCAACCAGGAAGAAACACAGCGTGTCACAGCTACCCATTCGTCCGAATGATGCACGCATGAAGGTCGCAGCTTTATTGCCGCCTGGAGGGGCGCGTGCTTGTTACGCTCAAAAGCACCGCACCTCGCCGCGCCACATGCGCGACGCACTTGTGGAACGTATGAGTGCTACGCCAGTCCGCTTGTCTGCATGCTGTTAATGCACACAGGTACAACATAAGAACTGTATCAATATACACATGTTTTTAAAGATATATTATTTAAAATTAGTGGTGGTAGAACAGCACATACTTTTTCGTATTATTCGTAACGATTACGTGAAATTATATTGCAACTCCCTACACGAGGAGTAAATAAAGTCCACCCATATACCTATATCACGAAGTACATTATCAAGATTTTATAAAAGCTCTCAGTGAAATCTAGCATCAGATTACTCCGTAGAAGCTCGTGTCAACTGCACTCGTAAATCCTGCATAGGATGTTCACCAAAATTGATATTTCCCAATGGATCTGGTGTCGCGGTCTCGCATTTGAAATGGATATTGTAATTTTTGCTGCACTTCACAGGAAGCCCCAAGGACTTTTTCAAAATTTCCACATAAATGGCTGAAGATTTTGGGATTAAATTTACTGCTCGATGAGAGAGCAATGTAAGCTTACAAAAGTGGCGCAGGTATGATTTTCACTGTTACCTCTGAATTTCAAACAATATTCGAGATTAAACGGAATCCTGCAATGCTGAATTTTCCAA